TTGTCTTCCTCTATTCTTTCTTTCTTTTTTCTTTATTTTTTCTTTTCCGTTTTTTTCTTTTCTTTTATTTTTCTTTTCTTTTTTTCTTTTGTATTCATGTAGATCTTTCTATTCGTTTTTCTATTCTTTTCTTTTCTTTTCTTTTCTTCTTTTTTATTTGTTTGGAGTTATGACGTGTTGTCTTTTAATTTTTCTTAACTCTTCTATTTCTCTTTCGTCTTTCTTCTTTTGTTTCTATTATTGTCTTCTTATCCTCTTCTCTTTTCTTTTACCTGTTTTCTTCGTCTTCTTCTTCTTATTATTTTTTCCGTTAATTTTTTGGAAAACCTTTATATTTCTTTTATGGTGGTTCTTCTTATGTCTTTTTTCAAAAATTGACTAATGAAAAAAAGAAAGTGATGTTTCATAAGTAGTATTTTTAAATAGAGTCGTTTATAACCATCTTTGTTTCTCACCTGTCGAGATGCGTACGCATCGAAACAAAAATGCACCTGAGTCGTGAGTACTTGTTTGTCCGTATGCAACATCTTTATAATATATATATATATATATATATATATATATATATATATATATATATATATATATATATTATTATTACTTAAACGGTATTTTCATGGATACCCGTATTTAATTAGAACCTCGTGTATTTTTAAAAGTACTTGCTTCGTCTACCGGCCTGCGTACTTAAAGAAAATATGCTTCCAACTCCCAGTAAACGTAACCTCTACGAAAATACACGTTATCCTAAAAAATAACCTTTGAACAAATAAAATTATATATATATATATATATATATATATATATATATATATAGAGAGAGAGAGAGAGAGAGAGGGGTCTGGTCCTCCTCCTCCAATACTAAGTATGATTGAAAGAAATATTAAATAAACCCTGTCTAAACTCGACCATGTCTCTCAAACCACTCCTCATCACCCCCTCTGTTAAATTACAAAAACTTACACTATCCATCAAAAGTATGAATTTTCATTTCATTTCGTTTCGTTTAATCTTTTGGAAGTGTTATCTGATGATCCAGCGTCCCTTAAAAGGGCTCTGGTGAAATAAATTACTATAATGGAACCTTAAAGTGGTCTGTTTTTCTTTAAAATATTAGCTCTGGATTTACATTGAGCTCTCAGGATTTCATCCTTCTTGGGACTACCCATACGGATTACCAAGCTTTTCATAACATATATATATATATATATATATATATATATATATATATATATTTTTTAAAGAGAAACATACTCAAAACGAGTATCCACTAAAATAACGTTTTAGTAATAACATTCTGTCGAATTGATAAATAAAAAAATCATCCCTTTTCTTACACTATTTGACTTTGTTTGGTCATCGACGCACTCTGTAGGCGAGAGGTCAAAGTTCGAATCCTGCCGAAGACCGCATGTTTTCTCCAATAAAATTTCTCGAATATTCATGCCGGTAGACGGAAATAAATATACTTTTTTTATAAATAAACGGGGCGTCTACTCAAATACGAGTATCCACAAAAAATGGTTAAGTAATAAATATATATGGGCCTCAATTCCTTTTTTATATAGGTTTTCTTGAAGATAGCTTACAATGCACTGCGATTAAACTTTTCGTTATATTTTTTTTCTTGCATACGTACAAGTGTTTTTTTTTGTTTTTTTTTTTTGTTAGACATGGTGTAAGAGCTGTCGAAATGGTTTTTGGATCCGAGGGCTTTCGGCTAATCTGCTTTTCTTGTAAATTCCTTCTTTTTTTTTTATAGTAATGGAAATGTTTTGATTTCCGAACACCGCCAGCACATTGTGGCCGTGTTCATCTATACAAATAAATGCGAATATCAGCCGAAAACCTAATTAAGAATCCTCCAAGAAGGTTCTTAAATTCCGCTCGATAAGGCTGCTTTTGAACTATTAATTAACTTTACGTCCACAATGTGCATATAAAAAAAAGTAAAACAAAGAAACACATTCTACAAATTAAGACGACCTTCAGTAAATTTATTAATGAACGCTATATTTAATCTCCGGAAGATGGAGTTATATTGTTAACTATGATATATATATATATATATATATATATATATATATATATATATACGAAAATCAGATCCTCAGTACATTCAGAATGTTAAATTCTGTGAAAAAAAAGACCTTTTACTCTTTTAATTGGTCTATACTTTAGTCCATGTCACTTTAATTGAAAAACAAAATCACAACAAAATTCGTGGATTTACCACATTACTAAATTCAAACAAATTCTCACTTGAATTATTTAAACAAGACCTCTGTCGTTGCGATATCGCACGTTCCAAAATAATTTAACTGGCAATAAATAGTAAATTTTTAAAAACATCTTTCGGACTACCCTACATTTAATTCGTCTTGGTTTTTACCTGTAAATGGAAATATTACGCACTGAAGATGACAATTTGAAATTGTCGAAAGCACTCGGCCGAGGATCATCAATCCATCTGACATCAATTCAAATAATGTCTCATTAATCTTGTTAGCGAAGTAATTTCCCCATTAATCACATTAACATTGCTAATTAATTCTTTGTATGAGTTTCTTTATGTTATATATACTGCACAATCTATGTTTTAGGATATCTCGTCATGTACTTATTTTCACTATGAAGTCCTTCCTTTCCGTCTTGCATCGTGTCTGAAGCTACAATATCCTGCCCAGGGATTGAACTCACAATTAGTATGCCACGCAGTTCCCAAAGCAACGCGTAAATCCACTAGGCTATTGTTACACTTCTGTCGTAATAAATTAAATATTTGAAATCAAAGTGTTGATTAAAACTTATTTATTAAGAATAAAATCAAGCCAGCGATTAAATTGAAAGAACGTTCACATATGAAGGTCGCCTGACAGAATGATTCCGGAAAAACGAACAAAGCTTTGAGGACAGATATTCTTTCTTGTGATTTAACGTTGCTGACTTGACAAGTCGAAGTTTAGTCAACCGAAAAAGGTTCAGGGGTGGGAGGATGAATCGAAGCGGCAGAAAAACAAAAAAGACTGGTTGAAAGAGAAGGCGTAAGGAAAAAATATTCATGTCCGATTTCAATAAAAATTAAACCCGTTTGTCGTTAGTAAAAACGAACGGAAGAAGAGTTTGATTTTTGCCTTAATTTTCTCTGATTCATTTAATCAAGGGATCGAATATGAATGACGAACTACGTGGTTGGTTTGGGATTTCAGTTCATTTTGAATAAGACTTCGAAGGAGAAGGGGGAGGAGAAATTCGAAGGAGGAGGAGGAATTCCAAGAAGAAGGAGGAGGAGAAAAGCCAAGAAGAAAGAGGAGGAGGAATAATTCCAAGGAGGAGAAGGAGGAAGAATTCCAAGATTGAGGAGAAGGAAAAATTCCTAGAAAAAGGAAGAGGGAGAATTCCAAGAATGAGAAGGAAGAGGAATTCTAAGAAGGAGAAGGAGAAATTTCAAGAAGAAGGAAGAAGAGGAGGATTCCCAAGAAGAAGAAAGAGGAGGAAAAATTCCTAGGAGAAGGAGGAGGAGGAGGAATTCAAAGAAGGAGGAGGAGGAGGAGGAATTCCAAGAAGGAGGAATTCCAAGGAAGAAGAAGTAAGAGGAAGAATTCCAAGAAGAATGAGGGGGAGGTATAATTTCAAGGAGGAAGATAAGAAAGAATTCCAAGAAGGAGAAGGAAGAGGAGAAATTCCAAGAAGAATGAGGGGGAGGTATAATTTCAAGGAGGAAGATAAGAAAGAATTCCAAGAAAGAGAAGGAAGAGGAGAAATTCCAAGAAGAATGAGGGGGAGGTATAATTTCAAGGAGGAAGATAAGAAAGAATTCCAAGAAGGAGAAGGAAGAGGAGAAATTCCAAGAAGAATGAGGGGGAGGTATAATTTCAAGGAGGAAGATAAGAAAGAATTCCAAGAATGAGAAGGAAGAGGAGAAATTCCAAGAAGAATGAGGGGGAGGTATAATTTCAAGGAGGAAGATAAGAAAGAATTCCAAGAAGGAGAAGCAAGAGGAGAAATTCCAAGAAGAATGAGGGGGAGGTATAATTTCAAGGAGGACGATAAGAAAGAATTCCAAGAATGAGAAGGAAAGGAGAAATTTCAAGAAGAATGAGGGGGAGGTATAATTTCAAGGAGGAAGATAAGAAAAAGAATTCCAAGAAGGAGAAGGAAGAGGAGAAAATCCAAGAAGAATGAGGGGAGGTATAATTTCAAGGAGGAAGATAAGAAAGAATTCCAAGAAGGAGAAGGAAGAGGAGAAAATCCAAGAAGAATGAGGGGGAGGTATAATTTCAAGGAGGAAGATAAGAAAGAATTCCAAGAAGGAGAAGGAAGAGGAGAAATTCAAGAAGAATGAGGGGAGGTATAATTTCAAGGAGGAAGATAAGAAAGAATTCCAAGAAGGAGAAGGAGAGGAGAAATTCCAAGAAGAATGAGGGGAGGTATAATTTCAAGGAGGAAGATAAGAAAGAATTCCAAGAAGGAGAAGGAAGAGGAGAAATTCAAGAAGAATGAGGGGGAGGTATAATTTCAAGGAGGAAGATGAGAAAGAATTCCAAGAATGAGAAGGAAGAGGAGAAATTCCAAGAAGAATGAGGGGAGGTATAATTTCAAGGAGGAAGATAAGAAAGAATTCAAGAAGGAGATGGAAGAGAGAAATTCAAGAAGAATGTGGGGGAGGTATAATTTCAAGGAGGAAGATAAGAAAGAATTCCAAGAAGGAGAAGGAAGAGGAGAAAAATCCAAGAAGAATGAGGGGAGGTATAATTTCAAGGAGGAAGATAAGAAAGAATTCCAAGAAGGAGAAGGAAGAGGAGAAATTCAAGAAGAATGAGGGGGGAGGTATAATTTCAAGGAGGAAGATAAGAAAGAATTCCAAGAAGGAGAAGGAAGAGGAGAAATTCCAAGAAGAATGAGGGGGAGGTATAATTTCAAGGAGGAAGATAAGAAAGAATTCCAAGAAGGAGAAGGAAGAGGAGAAAATCCAAGAAGAATGAGGGGGAGGTATAATTTCAAGAAGGAAGATAAGAAAGAATTCCAAGAAGGAGAAGGAAGAGGAGAAAATCCAAGAAGAAGAAGGAAGAGGAGGATTTCCAAGAAGAAGAAAGAGGAAGAAAAATTCCAAGGAGAATGAGGAGGAGGAGGAATTCAAAGAAGGAGGAGTAGGAGGAGGAATTCCAAGAAGGAGGAGGAGGAATTCCAAGAAGGAGGAATTCCAAGGAAGAAGAAGGAAGAGGAAGAATTCCAAGAGGAAGAATGAGGCGGAGGTATAATTCCAAGGAGGAAGAGAAGAAATAATTCCAAGAAGAAGAAGGAAGAGGAGGAATTCCAAGAAGTAGAAGGAAGAGGAGAAATTCCAAGAAGAAAAGGAAGAGGAGAAATTCCAAGAAGAAGAAGGAAGAGGAGGAATTCCAAGAAGAAGAAGGAAGAGGAGGAATTCCAAGAAGTAGAAGGAAGAGGAGAAATTCCAAGAAGAAGAAGGAAGAGGAGGAATTCCAAGAAGAAGAAGGAAGAGGAGAAATTCCAAGAAGTAGAAGGAAGAGGAGAAATTCCAAGAAGTAGAAGGAAGAGGAGAAATTCCAAGAAGAAGAAGGAAGAGGTGGAATTCCAAGAAGAAGAAGGAAGAGGTGGAATTCCAAGAAGTAGAAGGAAGAGGAGAAATTCCAAGAAGAAGAAGGAAGAGGAGAAATTCCAAGAAGTAGAAGGAAGAGGAGAAGTTCCAAGAAGTAGAAGGAGGAGGAAATCCAAGAAGAAGAAGAAGGAGGAGAAATTCCAAGAAGAAGAAGGAAGAGGAGGGAATTCCAAGAAATAGAAGGAAGAGGAGAAATTCCAAGAAGAAGAAGGAAGAGGAGGAATTCCAAGAAGTAGAAGGAAGAGGAGAAATTCCAAGAAGAAGAAGGAAGAGGAGGAATTCCAAGAAGAAGAAGGAAGAGGAGAAATTCCAAGAAGAAGAAGGAAGAGGAGGAATCAAGAAGAAGAAGGAAGAGGAGAAATTCCAAGAAGAAGAAGGAAGAGGAGAAATTCCAAGAAGAAGAAGGAAGAGGAGGAATTCCAAGAAGAAGAAGGAAGAGGAGAAATTCCAAGAAGAAGAAGGAAGAGGAGGAATTCCAAGAAGAAGAAGGAAGAGGAGGAATTCCAAGAAGAAGAAGGAAGAGGAGAAATTCCAAGAAGAAGAAGGAAGAGGAGGAATTCCAAGAAGAAGAAGGAAGAGGGAGAAATTCAAGAAGAAGAAGGAAGAGGAGGAATTCCAAGAAGAAGAAGGAAGAGGAGGAATTCCAAGAAGAAGAAGGAAGAGGAGAAATTCCAAGAAGAAGAAGGAAGAGGAGGAATTCCAAGAAGAAGAAGAGAAATTCCAAGAAAGTGGAGGAGAAAGAATTCCAAGCAGAAGGAGGAGAAGGAGTTATAATTCCAAGGAGAAGGAGAAAGACAAAGAATTCCAAGAAGAAGGAGGAGGAGAAAGAATTCCAGGAAGAAGGAGGTGGAGGAATTCCAAGAAGGAGGAGAAATAATTCCAAGGAGGAAGAATTCCAAAAAGGAGGAGGAAGAGTTATTCGAAGAAAAAGAAGAGGAAGGATGCGGAATTCGAAGAAAAAGGAGAAAAAAGAGGAGGAATTCGAAAGAAAAGAAAAAAAAGGAATTCTAAAATAAAAGCAGGAATTCGAAGATAAAGAAGAGGAAGAAGGAGAAATTCGAAGAAAAAGAAGAAGAGGAGGAATTCGAATAAGATGAACTCAAAGAAAAAGATCATGAGGAATGAGAAAAAGACGGATTGGTTAAGGCCAACCAACCGATGAGCAAATATGTAGTATTGGATAGAGTACTTACTGTAGGCCATCTTAACCCATTACCTGCCATGAGCCCCATTTGGGGATCCTTTAAAATTAATCTCACTACATGTAATTCCTTGTATTTACATTGAATTGCTTACATACATTGCATTTGAAGAGGTATATTTTACAACACTTAGCCTTTAAAGGTTTTATTATTAGCCGTAAGAAGACACTTTCTGTCGTAATTTTACATTTCACGAGTAGAAAAATAATGACTATTTTGAAAAGCATTTTTTTTATTATTTCTAATCAATATTATTTTTTGATTTTTTATACACATATATATTTGATGTTCTAGTTTCTATAAAAACGACAATGGTAACTACTGAAATTAAACATAAGGAATAAATAAACTCCTAAGACAACAGTCTGGGCCAAAAATGCGCAGTTAATGGGTTATTTCACCAAGAAAAAAGCCTACTTTAGCACTTCCAATCCTTTGATATCAGAAACTATATGAGTTTTGCCTAGTGTAACAGATCATCGTATATTTACTTTTATTATTTATTTACCACTACACAGACTACAAATTATATATATTATTACTTAAACGTTAATTTCTGCAGATACTCGTATTTCAGTAGACGTTCCTTTTATTTATGAAACAGTATATTTACTTATATTCATCTACCGGCCCGAATATCCGAAAAATCCTATTAAAGAAAAATTTTCGTTCTCTGACAGGATTCGAACCTACGTCCCTCTAGGCAGCGGATGCTATCGTTAAACCCGATAAGCTCTGGCCAACTTAGCTACAAAGAATCAATTAGTCAGGAATGGCTTGAATTGTACCTTTAAGAGAAAACTTCTCTCGTTATAGAGCTCCCGAGACTTAGACATCGGCACTGTTTCGTAACCAAACGTAAACAATTTTTAGAATGGATGTTTTTTATTAAATCTGACAGATTTTTATTACGTTGAAGGTTATCTTTAGTGGATAATCGTATTTGAATAGACAGTTTATTTCTTAAACAGTATGGGCACGTAGTCGAGTAGTTAGGACGTTCGCATCATAACGATGGGATGCGGGTTCAATTCTCATCGTCGATTTCTCAGGAAGGAGACTTCCTGATGTCATTGGACTGGAGAAGGCGATCCTAGCATGTGGTACCTTTGAAAAGTGCCTGAAAAACCATACCATGGGTTGATCCAATCCTTGTGAGGGAAATTGGGTAAACGGAACCCTTGGGGGACGTCCGTCGCAGTGGTAGAACAAAGTCACAAGTCATCGTGGCCGAGGGCTTGTTAAAAAATTTTGATCACACTAGATAACATGCTCTCTCCCAGAAACTGTAACTAAGGTCTGCTCAGCATAGTTGCAGTATAAACCACAGGTAGGCCCTGTGGGTGTTGAACAAACACAAATGTGCCTGAGCGAGCGTCTGCAATATGGATTGGCTAGAAGACGGGTATCCTCTAATACGAGTGGCCAGCCATACATATTTATTTATTTTCACCTACCGGCCTGAATGTTTGAGGAATCCTACTTTACGCTCCCTGCGTTAAGTAGTTTCAAATACGAGTGTCCCCTAAAAATAACGTTTAAAGTAAGATATATATATATATATATATATATATATATATATATATATAGATAGAGAGAGAGAGAGAGAGAGAGAGAGAGAGAGAGAGAGAGAGAGAGAGTCCATAAAGTTCGTGTGCACTTTACAAAATTTATGACTTTATTTGTATTTGCGATAGAAATAATCTGTAAAAAATGCTATAAAGTTTAATGTACTTAGTTTTAAGTATGGCTAAAATAACTAAATCAGTTGGAAAATGTTTTCCGTGAACTGCAAAATCGTATTACCCTTTGTATTTCTAATGATGGAGGACATGTGGAAACTTAAATAAAAGTTCAATAAAACATTAAAAGACATAGATTTACTTCTTTCTAATTTTTTTTACAAATTATTACTATCGCAAATTTGCGATGGGTAAATTGTCGCAATTTTATATTTTTAATTTTGCGCATGCGCGTTATTTGTTTTTGTTCTTGTCGACTACACAGTAGAGTAGGGTCAGATGAATACCCTCAATGCACAAAAGAGCACCATGAAGCAATTAACTCCCCCAGAAATTTGGAAACGGCATTCTGTACTGCTTGGCGTTCGCGCCGAAAGCTCTCTACTGTCGTTATAGGCACTAATGTCTTAGTTTTTTTTTTTTTGTTTTTTTTGGAGCAGACTTTTATCTGCGATAATAAACCTATGCTCTTACGTTCAGTCGGAAACTACGATATATTAAATTCATTTGAGGCGCATAACATTTTGTCCTCAAATCGAAAAAAGATGCTCGCCAGACGGGCCAATAACTACTCGCATGGCGGTATCAGCTCTCTCGAAAAGGATTCTAATATTAAATAATAATAATATGGATAGTAATGAATAATAACAATCATAGTAGTAGTCAGTCAAAAGCAGCAGCAGCAGTAGTAGTAGTAGTAGTAGCAGTAGAAGTAATTCAGCCTGTCAGCTGTAGTAGTAGCCCGTCTGTCAAATGTAGTAGTCAGTCAGAAGTAGAAGTATTTCAGTCTGTCAAAAGTAGTAGTAAGTCAGTTAGTCTGTCAGATGTAGTAGTAGTCAGTTTGTCAGATGTAGCAGTCAGTCAATAAGTTTGTCAGAAATAGTAGTCAGTCATTCAGAAGTAGCAGTCAGTCTGTCAGAAGTAGAAGTAAGTCAGTCAGTCTGTCGGAAGTAGCAGGAAGTCAATAAGTTTGTCAGAAGTAGCAGTCAGTATGTCAGAAGTAGCAGTAAGTCAGTCTGTCAGAAGCAGCAGTGTCAGTCAGTCTGTCTGAAGTAGCAGTAAGTCAGTCAGTCTGTCAGAAGCAGCAATGTCAGTCAGTCTGTCAGAAGTAGCAGTCAGTCTGTCAGAAGCAGCAGTAAGTCAATCAGTCTGTCAGAAGTAGCAGTCAATCTGTCAGAAGTAGTAGTAAGTCTGTCGGCCAGAAGTAGCAGTCAGTCTGTCGAACGTAGCAGTAAGTTAATAAGTTTGTCAGAAGTAGCAGTCAGAAGTAGCAGTAAGTCAGTCAGAAGCAGCAGTAAGTCAGTCAGTCTGTCAGAAGTAGCAGTCAGTCTGTCAGAAGTAGTAGTATGTCTGTTAGCCAGAATTAGCTGTAAGACTGTCAATCTGTGAGAAGTAGTAGTAAGTCAGGCAGTCTGCCAGAAATAGCAATCTGTCAGAAATCGCAATAAATCTGTCAGAAACAGCAATAAGTCTGTCAGTCTGTCAGAAGTAATAATAGTCAGCCATAGTGAGATTCGAGATTTGGTATCTCAAGATATAAATGAATGAAAATGTTATCGAGAAATTTGCTGGAGATTTGATATTTTCTATCACGAAATATCAAACGTTAACACTTGATATCTGGTTCGAAAATTCAATTATTAAATATAATATTAAATGGTAACAAGAAAGGTTATATAGAACTAATAAATAAATGAATAAAAATGGCTTTCAAACAGTTTCCTGTGATGACTTCAAAATGAGAAACTGACAAACACATCAAATCTCTTTTCATGGAGTTTGATATTTAGATATTTCCAAGGCCAGTTGTACAGAAAGGCAAATTTGTAGCAACAAAACAAACTGAACCACCCGGGTATTATCTAAGCCAACTTTTCTTAGCCGGTGCTACCAAGTGCACTAATGCGCCCTGAAAGGTAGCCGTGTGCGTTTCAAGTTAATAAATGAGTAATTTATGATTTTGTTTTTTTTGTATGTAAAAAAAAATATATTTTAAAAAATTTGGAGGTACTAAACACAGGGCGTCAATATCTAAGTCTGTTCTAAAGATCTAAAGATAAGTTCTTTATCACAGGATATATTTTAAACTGGTTGCTGAATCCCTTAATCTTTAAGGAGGAGTGGATAATCCTTTCCTTTTTGGATTTCCCAAGGGATTTAAATCGGTCATTATCAGCCTTCCAAAAAAAAATAAAAAAAATTAAAGTTTAGAATTTGAACGTTCAAACATTTTCAGCGTTCCCTGTGTCAGTATAATTATAAACAACCTCTGTTTTATGTCCCCCCTCCCCTCATGGGCATATAAGTACATCTAGAAAAAATAATTCAGTCTGATGAAGTCCCACAGGACGAAACGCATCAAAAGATTTTCCCATTTTGTCATAATTTTGCCTAATACTTATTGAGTTAAAAAAAAGTAGAACAGAACTTCACCCTTGTGCACATTAATTGAAACAACCGCTTTAGTTTCCTTTCTTTCACGATACGGTCAGTTTTAGACCAACTAGAGTGACAGGGTGTAATAGATTTCTATTTTTTCCTCAGATTAGCTCATTTGCAGTGGTATGCAGTAATATGAATCTATTTTCAAGGTGTATGATGAAATTTATTTGGCCTTGAAAAATATTGCGTCATCCGTCATGGCATCTGATTTTTATCACGCCCAGATACTATTGTCTCGACTGTCGATTAGTTGTCCTACAGCCATTGTCTGCGATGGACGTTACTCCAAGGAAGCGTACGAAAATTGTAACGCTGCACAAACACGTTGGCAAGCCTTACAAGTGAGCAAATCAAAGTACCATAGACTGATCCGGAAATTCACCTGATTTAAATCCAGTCGAGAATCTGTGATCAATCTGCAAGGAACGACTTCGCAGAATGGACATACAAAGTACTAACATGTGCACTGGGTTATGTTTCAATGAAGAAAATATTTAAAAAGAGTAAATAATAATGGATTTATTCGTTTTGTTTCAATTAATTTTGCACTAAAGTGTACATTGGCAGTCATTTAACAAAACATGAATGTATTTTAGTTTGAATTATATGTAAATTTCCGTTTTGGGGAACCAAGTTTTATAAGAAATCTATCATCCTAACTAAACATTCCTAAAACGTAACAGGTAAAAAATTCTTGAATAAAAAGGGGGAAAAAAGCAATATTCAACCACAAAAACGGAATTCTTACAATCCAAAATATATTGGTAAACATGCGGCAAGGTTAAAAGCGGTATATAATCTGCCCCCCCCCCACCAGGACGAGATGTGACACAAGGTCTTTTTTAGGTGGGGACCCGAGCGCGTACTCCCGGGACAGGAACAAAAATTCCCCACAGCACCCGCAATCGTTGGCTGCGCTGGCCTCGGTGCAAGTACCGATCCCTTCCTCTGGTGCAATGGGAAGGTGGCATCTGTTCCCCAGAGCTGGGCACCTCTTCAGTATTGTTTTCCTCAGTTGCCCCTCTGTCCTCAGATAGAGAAACCCCTGGGTGCACTCTGCCCAAAGACAGAGACGCAACTGAGAGATGATAAGTAGACGTCAAATTACCCCCAAAACAGGTTCAACGCAAAGAGCGGTGGATTGACAAAGATTAATCTCCACAACTTGCTCCAAAAGCTAGACTGGTGCGTGTCGATGAATGTTTGGGGTATTATTCATTAAGAATTCTTAATACGAAATGCATATTTATACGTCCAGCAGGTGCAACATGTCCATAGGCGTTTGGTCCAAAAGAGGAAAATAGGAAAATATTCTCTACATGATCGGGCGTGCGGATGGTGTAATAGATAACGTCTCCGAATGTAAAATAAGAAAGTCGAGTTTGAACTCCAGTCGGATCAGTTGCATTCTCTTACGCGCAAATACCTTGTATGACTCAACTACAATAGCAGAATTTGTATCGGGAAAAAAATTCCTAAAAAAAAAACAAACAAAAAAATACAATATTTACTCGCAAAAAAAATGAATTCTTACCTCCAAAATATATTTCAGATTTAACTAACTTACGAAGGGTTGATAATCAGTAAAAAGAAAAAGGAAAGAAGAAATCTTTGATTGTTAGCTGACATGAAAAGGAAAGACTACGTTGATTCCATTGCTAAGTCCGCTGCTAAGAAAGTTGGTTCACCTTGTCATCATCGACAATTTTTCTCTCTTAAATCTATCTTATATATCTATAGGTCTACAATTCACCCAAGCTTAGAATATTGATGCCTCATATGGTCCGGTGTTCTTGCTATATGTTTAGAGATCCTTGATAAAATCCAAAGAAAAATCAGCAATATTATTAGTCCTGACATGACATCTCGGCTTCAGTCAATTTTCCATCGTATGCATCTATAGATTCTTGATAAAATCCACAGAAGAATCAGCAATATTATTGGTCCTGACATGACATCTCGGCTTCAGTCACTCTCCCACCACCGTGAAGTGGTTTCCATATGCTTTTTCTCTAAATACTTTCATGGTTATTGTTCGGATAATTTCCTCATCTAAGCTTTATGAGTAAGCGCAGTGCTCGATTAGTAAAATGGTTCCATCAATTTATATTTGAATTGGCTGGATGTAACCGTAAGTTCTATGCTAACAGTTTCTTTTCTCGCACTTGTCACTTGTAGAAAACTCTTCCAGCTCCTTGCTTAACGTCCAACTTTGATCTTCCAAAATGTAACTGCAATGTCAATCGCCATCTACGATTTTCTTGTGACACTTCTATTATTCTTAGCCCTTCATAATGTTTTTTTTTTTGTTTTGTAATTCATTCATACCCAGTGACGCCTTGCGTCTTAGTTTGATTGGGCTGAATTAACTTATATTTATATTAAGGCCACAAAAACAGAATGTGCTTTCTTACTGAAATGACGGTTCCTTCGGGTAGTAATGTACCTTTGAAGGTCTATCAAAAAACTATCAAATACAAGGAACTTAACGTGGAAATCTCAAAAATTATGTCACATAATGACATCAGTAATTCTAGTTATAGTTGGAGCACTCGGATTGTTTGGAAAAAAAAAGTGCTTATAGATTCATTGAAGGGATCCTTGATAGCCCCAAGAAATTTAAAAAAATTGCACTCACAAGTGCAGCTCTCATAATACGAATACCTTTATTAATGTTAAATATGTTGATACTAGTTTTTATTATTATTATCATTATTATTATGATGATTACAAAAATCAACAGAAAACATCCACTTCTGATCTTTAGTCTCTGGTTGGAACCCAGAATGAAATGTGTATACAAAAGCATTCAAAGGAAATAATGACATAATAATTTTCAAGTTTAACACAATCGTTAGGTGGATACAAAATTATAGGAAATTGTATCCGTTTGGCGATAGGGCAACACCATAAAATTGAGTATAGAATTATATATATATATATATATATATATATATATATATATATATATATATATATATATATATATATATATATATATATATATATTTTCGAAACTTGAAACGAGTATAGTTCTATATTTAATCGTTTTGATCGTTTTCGAAACGAGTATAGTTATCTATATTTGTATGTATATGTATATATATATATATATATATATATATATATATATATATATATATATATAGTATTATATATATATATATATATATAATATCGTTTTCAGAAACGAGTATAGTTATCTATATTTAATCGTTTTGATCGTTTTCGAAACGAGTATAGTTATCTATATTTGTATGTATATATATATATATATATATATATATATATATATATATATATATATTATATATATATATATATATATATAATATCGTTTTCGAAACGAGTATAGTTATCTATATTTAATCGTTTTGATCGTTTTCGAAACGAGTATAGTTATCTATATTTGTATGTATATATATATATATATATATAATATATATGTACATAAGTAATATTATATATATATAAGATATTATTATACACAATATTATCTATATATTATAATATAATATATATATAATATTATTATATCTAATATAATATTATATATATTATAATATACTATATATATATAATATATATATAATATTATAAATAATATAAATTATATATATGATATTATATATAATATATATTTTAAATATATATTTATATTAATATGATATTATATTATATATATAGTATTATATACATAATATAATATATATGTAGATAATTAATATATATATATATAATAAATTAATATATATATTATAAAATAATATATATATAATATTACATATAATATAATATTATATATATATTATAATATACTGTATACATAATATATTATATATATTATAATATTATAAATAATATATATATATATATATATATATGGGGAGCAGGGGAAGGCAATTTCGACATGAAAACTGACTATCGATAAAGCCAATATTAGTGTGAAGTAGTTTTTACCCGGGACAAAAAGCGTCATTTAGGAGTTTCAGCATTAAGTTATTCAATTAAAAAAAAATAATAATCATTTCATTCCAAGTAAGCAAATAAAGCCGCTAAGATGCAAGAGATTGCTGAGTATTAGATAATATAGAGAAAACACTTAATGAGACCTATATATATATATATATATATACATAGAGAGAGATAGAGCAATAAAACAACAAAAATTAAAGAGACCGTAGATAACGTTTGATATTGCAATTTAAGTTGATTCAGAAGCAAGAAGCCGAAATAGAGTTCCACAGGCGAGAAGTGTGATAGAAGAAAGCACCAGCATAGAACCTTCGTTTACATGTAGTCATTTCAACTGTAATATGATGAGATTTTGCCGCAGTTTTATTACCCGTATTTAATAAAGATTATCCACAATTTGATATGCAGATTTTTATGCATCTTCCGTTTTCATTAATATCGATTTTATCTCGTGAATTTTGCCCAGAAACAATAAATAATGGTTTTCATTGGAGATCAACTGACAATAAGTCATCTGAATACAATTAATAGTGTATCTGTGATAGATACATCCGTACATGGTTTGTTGTTTTTCCCCCCTCAACAAGACACTCCTCGTCTAATAAATATTAACTAAAAAAATTGAAGCTGCTGCGTTCAGACGTCCTGTTTTTTTTCAATGTCTAGATTCAGATACAAAACATTTTGGTTCAAAAAACGAATAAAAGAGAAACATTCTTTAAGAAAGCGTTTGAAAAAAACATTAAAAACAAAATTTAGCCTCGTTTTCATCTCTTTGAAAATTACGGAGTAACCAATAATGTTACCCGGTATTTCATTTTTTCCTGCTTTTTATTTTTTCATATTTATTTATTCGGTAAGTAGAGCAACGACGTAAATATATATATATATATATATATATATATATATATATATATATATATATATATATATATATATATATATATATATATATATATGTGTGTGTATGTGTGTGATTCAAAAAGAATGGGAACAGGATTGTATGATACAACTTCAAATGATGTTCTATAATTCAGCTAGAAAGCTTTTATAGAGAGACCGTCGTTGAGAGAGAGAGAGAGAGAGAGAGAGAGAGAGTGACTGAGCTATCAAGACTGACGGTCGTTGAGAGAGAGAGAGAGATAGATAGTGAAAGGGCGAGAGAGAGAGTTCTATCTAGACCAGTGGATCTCAACCTTTTTTTACCCATGGACCCCTTTCCCCTTCTTTTTATCTTGGTGGACCCCTTCATAGCTATTGGACATAAGAACAATTTTCTATTCTTCACTAATATAAATTTTAAGGTTTTAATTATCAAAGAAATAGTATACGATTAAGCTTTATTTTTAAATGAAAACTAATTTAATAGAAATAAAATATTCTACTATAATTATAATAATAATTATTATTACTATTTTAATTAACACAACAATTGAGTTTTGCCTGTGGACCCCGGAAATATTACATGGACCCTAGGGTCCATGTAGACCAATTGAGAACCACTGATCTAGACAGACGGTCGTTGAGAGAGAAAACGAGCGCATTTTAGACGGACGGTCGTTGAGAGAGAGAGAGAAAGAGACAGGGTGCTTTGTCTAGAAGGACGGTCGTTGAAAGAGAGAGAGAGAGAGCTCAGACTAGACGGACGGTTGGTGAGAGATAGAGAGCTCTCAGCACAGACGGTCGTTAACAGAGAGAAAAAGAGCGATAGCTAAGAGCGAGCTATCTAGACAAGACGGTCGTTAACAGAGAGAGAGAGAGAGAGAGAGAGAGAGAGAGAGAGAGAGAGATAGTTATATAGACAGTCAGAGAGAGAGGGGAGAGAACGAGAGGTAGCTATTTAGACATACGGTCGTTAAGATAGTGAGAGCTCTCTAGCCAGAAAGTCGTTCAGAATGAGCAAGGCAGCTACCTAGGCAGACGGTCGCTGAAAGAAAGAGAGAGAGAGAGAGAGATTGAGAGAGAGAGATTGAGATGGATCTCGACATACAGTTGACAAGAGAGAGAGAGAGAGAGAGAGAGAGCCATCAAGAAAGTTCTCTCTCTCTCTCAACGACTTTCTTGATGTCTCTCTCTCCTTTTAACGATCGTATGTCTAGAAAGCTCTCTTTCTCTGTCTCAACGACTTTCTTGGAGTCTCTCTCTCTTTCTCTTAACAACCTTATCTCTAGAAAGCTCTCTCTCTCTCTCTCTCACTCTCTCTCTCTCTAAACGACTGTCTTGATGTCTCTCTCTTTCTCTCTCTCTTTCTCTTAACGACCGTATATCTAGAAACCTCTCTCTCTCTCTCTTTCTTGACGACTTATATGTAGATCTCTCTCTCTCTCTCTCTCTCTCTCTCAACGACTGTCTTGGCTCTTTCTCTTTCTCGTATGTATAGAAAGCTCGCTCTCTCTCTTGCTCTCTCGCTCTCTTTCTTGACGACCGTATATGTAGATCTCTCTCTCTCTCTCTTTCTCTCTCACACACACACAGACACACACACACACCGACTATCTAGACAGATGGTCGTTGAGAGAGAGACAGAGAGAAAGAGAGAGAGGAAGAGAAAGAGAGATCTTTCTGCCTATCCGTGGTGAGAAACAGATAGCTATCTATTTATCTAGTTAGAGGGACAGACCTGAATACCAAGATTATGGATGAATAGCCATTTATTTAGAGAACAAGCTAGACGTGAAGAGATTTGAATAGATTGACAGTTGCCTATAAATTTAAATGGCGAAACAGCAGCAGATGACTATATAATGACATAGCAATAGAATAGCGAGCTATTTTCAATTTAAAAGAATTTAAATTACCTTGCAGTTTTGTGTTCAGATTGCTTTTCATTATGAAGCAAAATTTCATTACATTTCACCTAAAAATGTCAACATTTAAAAACTGTTATATGTATTTTTATGGCACCTGGCTCGGATGTTATTTAGTGCAGAAAAGTGGGATTATAAAAAAAAAAATTAGTAAGGACTTTATTCTAAAACCTACCAATTAATGTCCGCGCCCTTTTCGGGAGCTGCTGTTACCAAGCAAACCATTACTACTTGCCCCATGGTGGTCCCATCGGTGACTAATCCACTTCCAAAATCAGGCTTTTCTGTTGAAGAAGAGTCCAATTTTCAACCGGGAACATGAAAATGGCCAGGTGAAAAAAATCCTTAAACATGAACTTATATATATATATATATATTCTTGTGATACGTTATTTATACAGACAAATATTTAAGTAAATGCTCTGTTTATAATAACCAGTAGTAACAACTTGACTGTTCGAGAAATTTTCATAGAAAACATATGTCCCACGACAGGAATCGAACCTGTATCATACATAGAACCATATTTTGTTTAATATATTTTATCGCTATACGTTATCTATATAAAATATATTAAAAATAATAGTCGGACTTTCTCCATTTCCTAGTGTGTGACGTCATTTGTTTACGTTAACATACGCTTCAAACAGATATGGACATTCGGGGGAAATCATAAGAACTTTGTAGTTTAAAAACATTAAAATCGACATTCCTCCATTGTAGCTAAACTGCTTTAGCATGTCAGGCTATATGATGGTTCTATGTAGGATACAGGTTCGATTCCTGTCGGAGGACATATATTTTCTTCCATATATATATATATATATATATATATATATATATATATATATGATCATTTCAATAGTTCGTGCAAGATTAGAAAATTAAAAACAATGAAAGTTGAACAGGAAATTTGGCAATGATCATATATATATATATATATATATATATATATATATATATATGTGTGTGTGTGTGTGAAGAAATATAGTTTAAAGGTATGCTATATTTATGGGATAAAGTGCTCAATATCAGAGACAGCGAATGTAGATATAAAATATAAAATAGGACATTGAAGTCAATACTCAGAGGCGATAGAGTGTTTTTCATGTTAAACGCAATCATCAGGCCACATTGCGTTTGGATTGAAACAGTCTGTCACCTCTGATCGTTGACTTCAATGTACACACACACACACACACGTATATATATATATATATATATATATATATATATATATATAGGCAGCATATTTTCATTCAAGCAGGTTTGTTCAAATAATTTAGACGTATTATGTTTATTTATTTTAGTTTCAATTTTTTCAAGTCCATGAATTGATTTCTCAGTAGCTGTAGAAAATTGATTAAAAAAAAAATTACAAAATTCTCTTTCAAATAATTTTTATTTTCCCAAGAACTTTCAATCCCGTCTGAAGTCCATCTTTAGGATGTTAAAATATCTCTGGATGTGTCTACAGTGGTTACGTAAATACAAAATATTTTTTCACTGTTTGTTTACAGTTTTCCAAAACTCGAATATTCATGGGCGGCCATTTTTTTGGTATTTTTTATTTTTATTTTAATATTTAAAATGTGAAAAAGATTTTTTTAGTTATTTTTTAGGTATAATATTTTACTTTAGTATTATATATAAAACTTTTCTGCTAAAACCATTTAAGAACTTTGTTGTTATAATCATTGTCGACATTATTTGGGGCCTCAATTCACGCACACACACATTACTCTTTCAATGTATTGTCTATGAATTTTTCCAATCGACTGTTTCATAGAAAATACACAAAATTCCACCGAATTTCAAATTAATTTCTTCGTAGATTGTTTAGACATTTAGATATTTATCAAACCTTAACCTCCCAAATATGCACGTTAAAGTAACGCAAATTAACAGCGTCTAAGAATTTGAATGAAACCTGTCGTGTAATTTATTGGAGTTGTTGTAGCTTCTTCCTTTAATGTCGGTCTTATATCTAGAGACGAGACGCGTTAAATTTGAGCAACATCCAGCCGACACACTGGGGTTAAAAATAGGAAATTGATACATATGACACACTCATATCCTCTCTCCCACCTCACTTCCTCACTTCGTTAATTTTACGTATACTTGATGAGGTCCGTCAAAAATGTGTGAATTTCTTTTCATTTTTCATTTCAGCTTTTGGAAGTAAAGTCTGATGATCCAGAACCCTGTTAAAGGGGTTATGGTGAAATAGCTTATTACATGGAATCTTAACGTGGTCTGTTTTTTATTCAAACATATCTGCTCTGAATTTTACATTGAGCTCTCTGGATATCATCCTTCTCAGGTCTACCCATATGGATTACCTAAGTTTGCATAAACTAAATATATATATATATATATATATATATATATATATATATATCAGGCACGTATATTATATACAATTCTCAATGAACTGTTCCACAAGCAAGTGGTTACGATGTAATGTATTTTTCGTTCAAAACTGAGAAAGCGTCCCTCAGCATTTTGTTACAATGATAGCAACTGTGTCCGTGTGTTCGTTTTTCCTCTTCATTTGTTCCACTGGAAATACCAACTCTATAAAAGAATATTTCTCCAACGAACAAGTATCTGACAATGCATCCTGTCTGTTCAACATTATCTCATAGAGATTTTATTATTAAACGTTATTTTTAGGGTATACCTGTATTGGAGTCGTCGCTTCGTTTATTGACACCGTATTTATTTTTGACTGTCTGCTTGAACATTCAAG